CCCCACCACCAACTCCTGGATTCTATCTCTGCCTCCGTCACAGAGCTGCTCTATTATGTTAGCCACGTGACTCGGTTTCCCCATCTGTAAAACCAGAATGATACTCTTCTTTCCCCAGGGGAGTGGTGAGGTTGGATGTTTGTAATGCTGTTTTGAGGTGTTAGATGAAACGTTCTATGGACGAGATATTCTGAGTCCTCCATGAAAACATCGTTGTGATATTTAGCAGGAGAGACTATTGGTTATTATCAGTTTTGGTGCTCCCTTCACAAGCATTAAGCTTCTGGGCATTTGCCACGGGGATAGCTTCCCCTTCCCTTTGGAACGGAGCCGCCTCTAGGGAGGGAGAGAGCAGCTGTTCTTGGATTAGTTACTCTACGCAGCAGGTTTTGTGACTTGTGCTTTCCCCGTATTAAACTGGTTTGGTGAATTGTATTGCAGGAATTAAAACATCAGGTGTCCATGTTGGTACACCACATGCTATTTGGAGTAGGTAGTACGCACTGTTTGTTACTTTCACTTCGTAGGTCAAACTTTTGGTAACAAAAAGGGGATTATTTGAAAGGCTCCCTGTTTTCATGGCCCTTCCTTCAAGTTAGTTGAAACAAGCATCAACTCTTGCACTCTCTCTGTCTCTCGTTTAGACTGCAAGCCTCTTTCGAAAAAGAGCGCCGAGACGACAACCCGTACTTTTGGAAAAGCAAGCCGCTATTTCGAAAGAGAGCACCCAGGCAGTCTGGATGCTCTCTTTCGAAAAAGCACAGTTTGCATCACGTTGCACCTTTTTTCGAAAGGGCACTTTCGAAAAAAGGCGTTCTTCCTCGTAAAACGAGGTTTTCCGCGGTCGAAAAAACTGCCGCGTTCTTTCGATGTAATTTCGAAAGAACATGGCCGCAGTTAGATGCAGGGGACGTTTTTTCGAAAAAAGGCCACTCTCTCTCAAGAAAAGCAACGAGGAGTCCTGTGGCACCTTATAGACCCACTTCATCTTTGCCCACGAAAGCTTATGTTTCAATAAATCTGTTAGTCTATAAGGTGCCACAGGACTCCTCATGGCTTTTGCAAATTCAGACTAACATGGCTACCCCTCTGATTCTCTCTGGAGCTGATCCTGCACTATTCAGGTCAATGGGAAAAGGTTCAAGCGGGT